TATCCAACTGATATTGATGGTAAAAAGTATATCATCTATTAGAATATGATAATTATTTTATCGTCTTTTTAGTTTAAAATTCGATTGAATTTTGTACTCATATTAGTAGTATTGTATAACAATCAATCAATTGATTAACGTAATTATAATTGTTTCGAAAAGACATTTATTCTTCAAGATTTAGCTGCCTGATATCCAACAAAAAGCAAGGCCCAAATTTGATCTGACTACTTACCGAACAGATAGAAATACAGTGCTATCTTGTACCCTCGATTATTCTAAAAAAGTTGAATAGCTTGATACAGTGGTATAGAGTATTCGATAGAACATCACTCTCTTTACACCCATAATCTCTTAATAGGGAGCTTACCAGATATCCGTCAGTGAAATGCTTTTAACTTTTAGTTCATGTATCTTAAATGAAAAGTCCACGCAAACTGCAATCGAATTCAAAATACTAAATCGTTGGGTTTCACCTTTGAAAAACGGGACGCGAAACAAGTATAGACTACGAATATACTCTATTTCAATGTCCACTACAGAAGGTAAATAAGGCATTCTAATTAAAAAACTGTCGAAAACTCGAAAATACATCGTGTGAAGAAACAGTATTTCGAACTTTTCTTTTGTGACACAAGTGATACGATACAGTTTTTTTCTGACTAGATATAGGTTTCATACAGATACATCTTTTGACATTGAACTGATCAATATGAATAACTGGGAGACTGCGTTAGCCTTAACCAGGATGTTATCTACACTTATTAGTAATCACTAATCGTGCTCGTAGAAGTCATGCAATCTTTTTCAAAATCGACAAAATGACTTCAGACTTGTGTTCAGCGCACGAATTAAGATCTTAAAAATTGAATACCAACCTTGTTCTTTTAGTGTCCACCTTGATCGAGATCATGAGTTTACCTTATAAATATAGGAATGATAAATGGTATCGTATAGTTTTTTTTTATAAAGCTGCAACTCTGTACAATTTCTAAACTTCAAAAACACGAGTTACTTGATTGTCGTTTGACGTCTATTGATGCTCTGTAAGTTCTGATACTTTTTTCGATTAGGACAAATTTCATTTTTGAGAGAAACGTTTCTGTGCATTGAACTTGAATAATTAGATCATTTTTTCCATTTTCAAAGAGAATGAACCACTTATACGAACAAGTTCAATCTCAAGAGATGTGTCTGAACTGCATTTTCAAAATTTTCCACAGTTTTTAGTTAGAGGGTTTTATCTACTTTCGCTGTTAGTCACTAAAATAGAATGAATTTATACTCTATACTGATTATCATGGGCTACTATTTAAGCGGTCAGTAAAATAAATTAAATGATCAGTAAAATAGATGAAATGGTCAGTAAGATAAATGGTCAGTAAAAAGTATATAAATGATCAGTAAAAAGATTAAATGGTCAGTACTTAGACTATCACTCATATAAAAAAAAAGATTGGAAAAAATCTACTTTTAATCGATTTTTTAAATCAAACCAGTGATTAAAATAAATTAAATTTATAAATATTAATTTTAATGGCGGCGACGGTAAAATGCGTTTTCTCAAACTTTATGTTGAAAACTCAGATGTTCGATCGCTTTTTCGGACTCCTTGCCTCGGAAAATTAGTAGATATGATGCTAGATCGACCTTTGACATAAATTCCATGCTTCAAGACTCGATATCAATTGGTACTTATTCATTTAAAAAGAAAAACTATTAGAATTGATTAAAATCGATCTAAAAATTTTAATCGATTTTAATAGATTAAAAATCGAATAATCTGACTAAAATTGAGTAAAATAGTCAATGAAAAAATTTTAATCGGTTAAAATGGATATTTATAAATTTATTTTATTTTAATCACTAGTTTGATTAAAAACCTGGTTAAAACTGTCCCATTTTAATCGATTTTTAATCACAAAAAAATCGATTAAAATCAGATTTTTTCCAATCTTTTTTTTTATATGAGTGATAATCTAAGTACTGACCATTTAATCTTTTTACTGATCATTTATACATTTTTTACTGACCATTTATCTTACTGATCATTTAATATATTTTCCTGACCATTTCATTTATTTTACTGACCGCTTAATAATATCCCATTATCATGTAATGAGATGCTTCCAAGTTCATGCTATCCAATCATTCCTGAAATAAGGTCAAAATATGCAACATCAACTTTTTTTATCATCACTTAATTCATACCTATTTAGTATTGAGTTTATTTGAAGTAACTTCGATACGACATGTGCAAACAAAAGATAAAGAATCTATTTTCGGAAGTTAACATCATATTTCATTTTCTTTTCTTTTTGAAATTATCTTCAGAGCATCAGAATTTTATTATTTTCATCAAATGTCACAATTATGTTCGATTGAGAATTGCATCAGAACATCACGTGGACTGTGTGATTGTTGTCAGCAATATCTTTGTTTACAACATTTAAATGAACATAATGCTTTACTCATTTCTCAACTGAATCCATTAACTGATGAAATTAATGCATTGGGGTATCGTCTTCAAACACTAAACATTCAAGAAACAATTCAAAATGGTCGTCTAAAACTTGAACAATGGCGTCAAGATTGTTATCAGAAAATTGATTCTTATTTTGAACAAAAATGTCAAGAACTTGATCAACTTGTTAATGAAACAGTTGATCAACAACAAGACGAACTCAATCGAATACAACTGAAGATCACTGAACTCATCAATGAACAAGAAACAACGGGTGAAGATATTGATTTATTGAAATCAACTATTCATCAGCTAGAATTAAGTATGAATAATATCGAACAAACATGGTTTACGATCAATACTCGTCCATTATTGATAGATAACAAATACGTTTTAATTAAGAAACTAGCTGAACATGAATTTGATCTATCAACTCTTTCACCCGTTTACAAAACGATTGATCGTTCTGCTGAAAGTGTTAGGTTACTAATGTGCAATGATCGATACTTATTGATGCATCAACATCCAAATTTATGTTTATTTGATCGAGAACTGAACTTAGTCAAACAAACGTTATGGTCTTACGGAGAAATTCAAGACATGTGTTGGTCGTCAACATTAGATCGCTTCATTCTGCTTGGAGAAAATAACATCTTTCTTGTAGACGAAAATACAATGTCAATTAATAATGTGCTAAGCATTGACGAACGAGACTTGATATCATGTACATGTTCTGATACAGTTCTATTTGCAAGCACAAATGAACGGGCTTCATCTATTATGGAATTTAAACTCCTTCCAACAATTGAATTAATTGGAGAATGGAAACATCCTCTTACATGTGACAAAGATGAAACTATCTGTGATATTGTTTACAATAATGGAAATCTTGCTCTAATGATTATGAATTTATCTGAGGAATCGGTACGCATTGAATTGAGGCATGCAGAAACGCTCGCTTGGATCTGGACACTTCAACTTGATATTAGATGCGTCCAATATATAGCATTTGGCTGCTGTTCACTCACTTGTAATGAATGGCTTGTTGTCGACTATGAGAGTGGACGTTTGCTGCAAGTTACAGAAGATGGAAAAATAAAGAAAACCATTATGTATTATCCAAGTCCCTATCGTGCTACTCTGTTCAACCTAAACAAGTTAGCTGTATTAACTATGAATCATGTGAACCTACATACAATTCAATACAGTGAATGACTGCTTTCGTTTAGTGTTTTGCATTAGGTTTTTTTTTTTGATGAACTGCTCTAATTAAAAATAATTAATCTCATCATCTTGAAATATTATTTAAGACTAATTGGATGATCGACATAAATCACCTTACAATATCTTTGTATTTTCTAATAGGCAAATAAAACATCAAATTCAATTGATCAATAAGAATAGAAAAAGTTATATTTTTTCTTGAATGTGTGGAATATAAATCTGAGAGCGTTATGTGAAGGGAAAATAACCGTTCTGTAAGTCATAAAGTTTTTGAATTCTATTCCATGTCCTGTTACTGTTGATGCATTCATCAAAACTATCTGATTAGCAATGAAAACTACCCTTTTATCTCGTTTCAATAAAATTTTTGTGCTCTCATAAAAGTGTTTGATGAATATCTTTAAACATAGTTTTAGTTAATTAGAAATAAATTTTATTAACATAATTCAATATCCTATTTATCATGCTCATAGAATTATAAAATTGATATCTAGGAATACAAAAGGTTGACATATACTTGTAAATATATAATATTTCCTTTTCTTTTAAAGTCGAAAAATCTAATGTTTAGTCTATTGTAATTTGTTAGATAATTTTATTTTTACATTGATGTCACATGAAAAATAAACTCTATTCAGTCGTGATATGTAAATACTATATATAGTATATTTAGTTATATACTTAATATACCTTCAAATGTCTACTTGAAGTGATTGTTCAATCTGAGGATCATCGTGATTAAATTTTTTTTTTAAAGTTTTAACTAAAACTTGGTCACGAACAGTGAAAGATACTCGAATAGTGACCTATCCTGTGTTTGTGCTGATTACATTAGTTTTTTCAAAAACATAATTTTTATATTCTTAGTTTATTGCGATAATTTATTCATTTTTTTCTTTTAAATAAAATAACTATGCATAAATGTTAAAGAAGAAATTAAATTTGTGACTGAGAATCAGGTATATTTTGAATTCTAATTTCTTTCTACGACAAAAACATCACAACAAGCACAAAACATAATAAAAACACATGTTTTGTTTCAAATACAGAAAACGAAAAAAGACGTATTTTTTACTATTCGATTGAATAGAGTCAAATTACCTAACCACATAGGTATTTTCTTCTTGGTTAATAATCTCATCATTTTTTTTCTCTTTATCGAATTTTTGATCGAGATTCAAGGTTACGACGATTATAGATTGTTGTGGTCGTGATCGAAAAACTTGATGACTTCAGCAACTAATCATATCTTCTTTTTATATAGCAAAGCAGAACAGAAAAAAAACTAAACACATTCACCAAATATCGATATCTATTACGATGCATTCATCCATGCATTTTTTTTTCACACATGCATTTTAGTGTATATTAAACTTATTCTAACGGTAAGAGTACATTTATTTGAATATGATCATTATTTTCTCTTGTTTTTAGTTTAAAATTTAATTGAATCGTCTAATAGTATAAATAGTATTATATAACAACCGATCAATTGATTATTGCTGTCACAGTTATTTCGAAACGTCATCTATTTATTCTTCAACATTTAGATTCGTGATATCCATCAATAGCATCATTAGTTGAAATAGAGAAATCACAATGAGGTATACAAATTAAAACTATATATATATATATATATCGTATCGAAGTTATACTAGTAAATGAAGTTATTTCAATTCAACTAAATACCAAAATAAAAACATCGATTATAATTCACCATATTAAAAAAACAAAGTATATATGTATTGTTAATTGTTTTGGTTTTACTTATTACAACTAAATCTCAACCACGTGTACAAAAGTGTTCTCTCATTTCGATGAAAGTCATTTCTGCATGTACGGTTCAGATTACATGAAACTACAGTTTTAAAAACAGTTATATCATTTTTATTTACGATAAATATATAGAAGATTTTATTGACCACAGTCAAAGTTTATTTTTTATGAATACATATTATGATATTAGATTTATTCTAAGAACTATAAGTTCTGTTATTAATGATGAGAGATCTCTAGAATACTATACTTCAATTTAAGGAACACTCTAACCTCATATTAATAAGAAAAATGCAATATATATACAAGGATAACTTCAACACTAATCAGAATCAGATTCACATGAATTGAAATAAAAACTTCGTCTGATTAGATTTTTTGAATATCATGTTGCAGTCCAAACTAAATTTTAACAGTGAAGTTAATGCTGAAGTGATGGCCGGAAAGTGAAAAAGATTTTCTTTTTATATCTATTGATTATATTAATTTAAAATGCACTTTAAAAAATCATAACCTAGAGATTGAGAAACCCTTGCATTATTTTTATTTGATAAACATTAAATATTTCGACATGGGAATAGATAATAGAGAAAGAGATCAAGAAACTTCTATTCCTTTGTTTTAGATAATAAGCAATAATAAGAAGAAAAAAAAACAACCATTCGTCTTATTGACAAAATATATACGCTAAAAATAGAAGATCAAAGGTGGGGAAAACATCTAGAAGAGTCGAAGAGAAAGAAAGAAAGAAAAAAATGATGCACTTTATAACTATTTCATTTATTTTATTGATCATACATCATATTACCAAAAATAATGTTTGATTTTTCTGAATAATATCTTATAAGAATATGCATAAGAATAGGATATAAATGTTTTTAAAATAAAAAATTAACTGTAAGTGTATATTTTGTTTTTAATATCATCAATTAAGATTTTATATTTCTTTAATATTGAGTTGATTTGAAGTCATTTCAATAATCCTTTTTTTGTCGAAATTGTCACTTCGATACGATATGTATACACAGTCTTCAGTTGTTACGCATTATTAAAAAGTTCGTTTTTTTTTCGTCATATTCTCCACAAAAAGAAAGATAAATATTGTATTTCCTGATGATTAATTACTTTCAGCTGAAGTATTTATAGTAACTCTTGTACAATCACTATTTTCATGACACCATTTTATTGAATTTAACGTTTAAGAAATTTTAAAAGTTCGTTATACGAATGCAAAAATAATCCGCTTTTTAAAAAAAATAACACCAGATTTCATTTTCTCTTCTAATTATAATTTTCTTCAGAACATTAGCATTTTATCATTTTCATCGAATGTCTCAATTATGCGCGAACGAAAAATGCATGCGAACATCACGTTGGCTGTGCGATTGTTGCCAGCAATATCTTTGTTTACAACATTTAAATGAACATAATGCCTTACTTATTTCTACACTGAATTCTCTGAATGATGAAATTAATGTACTTGAAAATCGTCTCGAAACATTAAATATTGATAAAGCAATGGTGAATAGTCGTGAAAAACTTGAACAATGGCGTCAAGATTGTTATAAGAAGATTGATTGTTTATTTAAACAAAAATGTCAAGAACTTGATCTTGTTAATGAAGCAATCGACCAACAGCGAGAAGAACTTAATCGAATACGATTGAAGATACCTGAACTCATTAATACACAAGAAACAACTCGTGAAGATATCGATTTTTTAACATCAAGTATTCGTCAGCTTGAAAAAAATATGCACAGTATTGAACAAGGATGTTTGACGATTAATACTCGTCCATTAGTAATAGATGATATATTCATTTCAGTAGAGCATCCAGCTGAACAGGAACTTGATCTATCAACTCTTTCACCTGTCAACAAAATAATTCATCGTTCTGAAGGAAGTTATCGACCATTTACTGTTAATGATCGATACTTATTGATGCATCAACAGCCCAATTTATGTTTGTTTGATACAGAAATGAACATAGTTAAACAAACACCATGGTCATACGATGCAATTCAGGACATGTGTTGGTCGTCAACATTAGACCGATTTATTGTACTTGGAAAAAATAGTATTTATCTTATTAACGAAAATACAATGTCAATTAATAACGTGTACACAATGGAAGAGCGACATTGGCTATCGTGTACATGTTCTGATATCGTTCTTTTCGCATGTACAAATGGACGTGCATCATCTATTATGGAATTTACATTATTTCCAACAATTGAATTGATTCGCGAATGGAAACATCCTCTGACATGCACTAAACATGAATTTATTGTTAGTACTTTTTACAATAACGAAAATCTAGCTCTGATGGTTGTGAATGTTTTGGATAAATCGCTGCGAATGGAATTAAGATATTCAAAGACGCTCGATCGTATCTGGACACTACAACTTGATATTAGTTGGGCTCAAAAGCTGGCATTTCGCTGTTGTTCACTTTCTTGTAATGAATGGCTTATTGTTGACCATGAGACTGGTCGCCTGCTTCAGATTACAAAAGATGGGAAAGTAAAGAACACAATTGAATATCATCCGACTCCCTGTCGTGCTATTCTGTTCAATAGAAATAAACTAGCAGTATCGACTGCCGATGATGTAAACTTGCATACAATTCAATGAAGTGCATGATTACTTTCATTTAGTATTAAGTTGTACTTTTTCGATGAAGAAATTGGATCAAAAATAATTAACTGTATATTGCTGAAATATAATTTACAATTGATTAGATCATCGAGGTCATTGTAGTTAAAATTCTTTTTTTAAACTTTTTTTATATGTAAATAAAACATGAAATTTACTTGAACAATAAAGATAGAAAAAGTTATACTTACCAGGAAAACCGCTTAAGGCGGTCCCTTCTGATTTCAGTGATTCTTTTCCTTTCGATTCTATCTTACATACAGTTCTTATAAAAACTCTACAAAGATTTGCGTTTCTATCGATATTTTGAATCAGACTAAACTTTGAATAATTTTTTTTTCGAGAATTCAGTGTAACATTAAGCAAAACAAAGAAAAAGATACACTGGTTGCAAGGGGGAAACGGCGGACTTTTGGACTTGAAGTTACTTTGAGCTACTTCAAGTTACTTTGAGCTACTTGAAGTAGCTTACTTTGAAGTACTTTTCAACTTCAAATGTACCTGAAGTTACTTTAAGTTACTTTAAGCTACTTGTTCCTACTTTGGACTACTTGGGTGGTACTTTGAGCTACTTCAAGTAGTCTACTTTGACGTACTTTGGCGTACTTTTCTACTTCAAGTCCGCCGTTTCCCCCTTGACTGGTTGTCATCTTAAAAAACTTTGTTTATACTGAAGAAAATGTTGTTGTCTAGCTCAATTTAAAAAAAAACAGAAAACTGATGCATCTGAAAGGATTGAAGACCATGCAAATTGTCATATTTGCTACCGAACATTAGTTTATATATCAACTACTAGTATTCGAAATATATTTGTTCATTCATGTGTTAAAAACTTTTTCAATATTATTAGATCAATGGCCCCTGTGAAACCAAAGTTGGATCAACTTTCTTCGACCCAGACCAGACAATTAAGACCTCGGACATAAAGTACCGATGAAAAAGGGTCTATACTGTGAAAGTCTCATACCTCAAAGAAACGTTATTTAAAACTTCTGAATTCTCTTATGAAAGTAAATCAAATTGACCTTGTTGTATACTCAGAAACTTTTAGGTGAAAACTCCAAAAATAAGATTTTTTCCAAAAAAAACTGAAGCAATACAGAAGTTCTTAGAAAGTAGACGTATGAGAAATTCGACAGTTTAGTCAAATCTGAATAAGAACTAGATTCCTTCTAAGGTATTTATTATGACACTATATAGTATATATAGGCAAGGAATTATTTGAATTGAAAGAAAGCATCTGAAGAAGTTCTCTGTTGAGTGATTGAAAGATGTTTTGCATTTTGAAACAGATAGATTTTAATCACAATAGAAACTCACCAGTCTAGTATTCTGCACAACCAGTATTTTGGATTTTTTTTGAAACAATTTGATGATAATTGACCAATCTTACTCAAGCAGAAAGTTCTGAATACATATTCGGAAGAAGCAACTAAGTCTGATTACAACTGACTGCTTGTGGCTCTAACCAGTTTTGTTTAAGTAGCCAAAAAACGAGTGAATAGTTTTTGTAAAGATTCTTTCACCATACGCTATCAATCATGTACATATAGTATTTATCTTCATTGGATAGAGCACATAAAAAGAACTGACTAAATTTTACTTGTTAGATCGCAATAAAGAACGATGCCTGAGATCTATTGTTTTTAAAGTATAAGAAAAACTAGTTTTCGTAAATTCGAAAAAAAGCAATGATTCTTTTATGAAACGCACTTAAGTCTTAGAATTTTTCTAACATTCTTGGTAGACACATCTGCTCGAGTTCTACACACTAGGTCTGAATTCTGTCTGTTTCTCAAAACTTTCAATTGACAAAACTGTGAAGACATTTTTTAACGTTTCAAGACGTTGGCCAAGTTGAGTTTGCTTCTATTTCAACAAGCAACATAGAATGTAGACAAAGCACTCTAACTCAAAATCTGTCGAAAATCCGAAAAGCACCGATCGGATGCTAGTAGTATTTCTGACTTTTCTTCCATAGCACATGTGATTCGTTTGTTCTTTTCTCAGAAGACATAGTTCTCATGTAAACGGATCGTTTGATATTGAATTACCCAATGTAAATAAATTGTGGACTGAGTTAGTATTGATCAGAACGTAGTCTATCTGTCTTATTGATCATTAATCTTACCTATTTAAGTCATTCGATTTCTTTAAAAAATCGAATGGTCGAGTTACCATAAAATAGAGAATTAAATGATAAACATACGATTTCGGCAGACATCATATCTTCTACGACTACAAAGAGAGGACTAGGGATGAATTCTTCGATGAAAAAGAGTCTCGAATACACTTCTAACGTAAAAAACTTATCGACTTTCAATGCTACTTCCAAATATGGTGTCGATTTCATCTTTGACTGTACTTTTCATACCATAATTTAAGTAAAGACTTGTCACAAAAGTGCAACATCGTTTTCCAAGAACAATGCGCCTAAGTATGCTCTAAGTGGTGAGTATTTTGGAATATTTGAAACCGCACAATATGGTAGCTTTCGAAAAGAATTATAAAATGGTAAAATGTCAAATTCGATATCCCTTAGCACTCATGATCTTGATTTTACTGTACATGAGATGAACACGATTCTTTAGTAACTTCATGTTAATGTTCTTACATTGAAATATAATACATCTGTTGCAGGATCTATAAGTTCAAGGAAATTTATTGGCGTGATTCAACTATTTTAACTTGTGCAACAAGGAATAAAATATTGCTTTATAAACTAATATAATAAATTCAAGATCAAAATATATAACTTTAATTTATTATTTAGTTCGATAATGGTCAACATTTAATAATACTTGCAGCGCATATTCGAACAATAAATCATTTATCTTATGATGAAGAATAGAGATTGTTTGATATCCGTTGGTGAAAATACTCTCATGTATCAATCGAATATTGAAGAATGAAAAAATATGCGTTAAATATTTTTGTTTTTTTTTAAAGATAAATCGTGATCGAAATCTGGATATTTCTCCAACAAAATCATTGCAAGCTCATGAAGATATGATTGATGATCTTTGTCCAATATTTTGTTACCGGAAAATATTCATATCTATGCTTATTTTCTAATGAAAATTATTCAATATGTGCATCATCATTATCTACAACAATTTATTGTAGTACAGAGATTGGTACAATTTTCTTTATTTTACTAAGAACATTAACAGCACAAGTATTTGTTAAAACCCAAATATGTTGCTTTTTTTGATAAAAGATTTCGTTTGCAAAATTTATATTCTCTTTGTTGAACTTTATGTTAGCTACCAAAAAATAGTGAATCAGCAGTTATGGCAGCATCAACATTTGTTTAAATGGCTTATTTCTTATTTGAGCAACAAATGAATTCATATTAATTATAAGAAAATATCTTAGTCACATATTTTGTATCTTACTTTTAGGAAAAGTACGATTAATTGTTTTTATTTCGTGTTCTTCATCAAAAAAAGTGAAGCAAAACACTACATAAAAGCAGCCATCCATTTTACTGAATTGTATGCAGCCTAACATCATCCAAAGTCAATATAGCCAGTTTATTGAAGTCGAATAAAACAGCACGACAGGGGGTCGGATAATATTGAATTGTATTCTTTATTTTTCCATCCTTTGTAATCTGTATCAGACGTTCAGTTTCATAGTCAACAATGAGCCATTCATTAAAAGTGAGTGAACAACAACGAAAAGCTACTTTTTGGAGACACTTAGTATCAAGTTGAAGTGACCAGATGGGATCGAATGTTTTTACATTTCTCAATTCAATACGCACCGATCTCTTGGATTCACTCATAACCATTAAAGCTAGATTTCCATCATTATAAACAGTATCAGCAATACCTTGATCTTTAGTAGATGTAAGAGGGTATTTCCATTCGCGAACCGGTTGAATCACTGGAAATAATGTGAATTCTAATACAGATGAAGGACATTCATTTGTACTTGCAAAGAAAACTGTGTCCGAACATGTACACGATCCCCAGTATCGTTCTTCCATTGTGTTAACAGTATCAATTGTCATTGTATTTTCATTAACGAGATAGATATTATTTTTTCCAAGTAGAATGAATCGATCTAATGTTGATGACCAACACATATCATGAATTGCATCATACGACCATAACATTTGTTTGACTATGTTCATTTCTGTATCAAATATACATAAATTGGGCTGTTGATGCATTAATAAATATCGATCATTGTTAGTTAATGATGGAAAACTTCCCTCATTACGATGAATCGTTGTGTATCTTGGCGAAAGAGTTGATAGATCAAGTTCACGTTCAATTGGTTTGTTTATAAGAACGAACGTATCATCTATCAATAGTGGACGAGTATCGACCGTAAAACATATTCGTTCGATTTTTTGTATATTTATTTTGAGTTGACGAATACTTGATCTCATTGAATCGATATCTTGACGAGTTGTTTCTTGTGCTTTGATAAGTTCAGTTATTTTCGAATGTACCCAATTGAGTGCTTCACGTTGTTGGTCAATTTTTTGATTAACAAGTTCATCAAGTTCTTGACACTTTCGTTCAAATAAACAATCAATCTTCTTATGACAATCTTCACGCCATTGTTCAAGTTTTTCACGACTATTACCAATAGATTTTTGAATATTTAGTATTTTGAGACGATCTTCAAGTGCATTAACTTCATCAGTCAAAGGATTCAGTTGAGAAATGAGCAAGGCATTATGTTCATTTAAATGTTGTAAGCAAAGGCTTTGTTGGCAACAATCACACAGACCACGCGATGTACGAGTACATTTTTTTATGAAACATAATTGAGACATTTGATGAAAACAAATAAAATTTTGATGTTTTTAGAGATGATTGTTGTAGAGAGAGAAATTGAAATTTTTTTTGTTTTTTCTCAAGGAAAAAATTGCTTGTTTACTGGAGAAACGACAAAAAGCTTTCTTTTTACATTCATATAACGATCATTAAGGGTTTTTTTAACTTGAAATTCAATAAACTGATGTCGTACGGATAGTGATTGTACAAGAATAACTATGGAAACTTTAGCTGAAACTGATTATTCGCTAAAAAAAAGAGTAGTTAATTTTTTTACAATATGATAAGAAAAAAGCTATTTATTATTATTATTGTTTAAAATTATAGCCTATGTGTATATACATGAATTGTAAAGGAAATGGAAACAATGTAAAACTTCATGAAGCCACATTACGGACTTCTCAAGCAATCACATTTTCTTTTGGTAGAAAGAGAAGCGTCTGAGCTACACATTTCGTAATACACATATTTTTCTAGAACGAATTAGTGTACGAGGAAAAGTCAAAAGTCAAAGACCTATAAAAAACGCTCTTGTCATTCGGATATTTTGTATTCTTCAATGGTTTTAGGCTACATCGACTGAACTTCATCAAAACAACATAAAGATGTGGTTCATAAAGAATTGGCTTTCGTCTCAGCTGTTTTAAATCATTTTAGATTGATCCTGAATTCTTCAGTCAAAAAGACTTGAAAAATAGAATATCTAGCTAGAACTACGTATTTCCAAGAACACCAACTATCGTCTTCCGAAACCGTGCATGAACTCAGTTCTTTTTGCATTATTTGTCTGATGTACCCCTAGTCGAAGAGAACGAAATCGTAAACGATATATAATAGCAAAAACAGCACCTTTACGTCGCGATTTTTCGTAAGCTATTAAAATCGTAGAAATAATAAGCGATGTAAAAGTCTTTGGAACAATGCTGAACTGCACCGCTCATCCATTGTAGAAGATGAAAAGCTATTTTGTTCATTAGAAAGAGCATGACAATCATTCTAGTAAACACCATACAAATTCAATTGAACGAACTTGAGGTATGTTTGATGGACTGTCAGCACGAGAAATAAATGGTATGTTCTTCTCATTCCAATGTTCTTGAACAATATTTAATAAATTTGTCCTTACTGCATCTAGCCAGTACAGATGATTTCCATTACAATGATATCAATCAATAAAAGGAAAGTCTTTTATTAATACATTTATGTATATATAGAGTGTCCAGAACATCACTCGACAAAGAAAAATTTGAATAGCTTTGCCATATTTCAACGATATAGAGTGATATTTTTACCATTGCAATTCATAATCTTTGTCAAATATCAATTGAAAAATTTTATTTGCTTTTAACTGCTTTATGTGATTTTAGTGTTCGATTATGTTTGAATAGTCTTTGTTTTTTTTCCTAACATATTAAACTTTGAATTTTACTTATGGGATATTGTTAGAGGAAAATGTTTATGTACATTCTTATTTTTTAATGAAATTCGTTTGATGTGCGCATCATCATTTTTTACAACAATTTATTGTGATAGAAATATATGGTAAAATTATTATTGTTCCATCACGAACATCAACATCACAATTTATAGAGAAATAAATATTTTGCTTTTTTTTGGAAAAGATTTTGTTTTGAAATAGATCTTTTCTAATGAAACAAATCGTGCAGTCCCAGTACATACTCTTGCAACTTCAAATAGTTAACTATGCAAAGATCAATATGTTTTTAGTATTCTACGAAATTTATTCCTGTAGTAAAAATTCATGAAAACATTGGTATTTTCATGATTTTTGTATTATATTTTAGCCATCAGTGAACGATGAATTAAATGAATCAGCACCTATGACAGCACCAATATTGTTCAAGTGTCTCATTTATTAGTTGAGCAGCAAATCAAATCATCTTATTTATAAGAAAACTTCTTTCTCAGATATTTTGTATTCTTTTCTTTCATGTTCTTTCATAAATTATTATTATGATGATTACATGGCAGATCTCGATTATTATAATAACACTAAATAAAATATTATTAGGCAAGTGCGGTTACTGATTTTTAGTTCGACTTGTTCATCGAAAAAGTGAAGCAACACTGAACGAAAGCTGCCATTCATTTTACTGAATTGTATGTAGTTTAACACCATCGACAGCTAATATTGCCAGATTATTTGAGTCGAATAGAAAAGCACGATAGGGACTAGGATAATATTGAATTGTTTTCTTTATTTTTCCATCTTTTGTAATCTGTATCAGACGTGCAGTTTCATAGTCAACAACGAGCCATTCATTACAAGTCAGTGAACAACAACGAAATGTTATATTTTTGACGCATGCAATATCAAGTGGTAGTGACCAGATGTAATCGAATGTCTTTGCATGTCTCAATTCAATGCGCACCGGTTTCTGGTATAAATTCATAACCATCAGAGCAAGATTTCCGTTATTGTAAACAGTATCAGCAATAGCTTCATCTTTGGTACATGTCAGAGGACATTTCCATTCTTTAATCGATTCGATCACTGGAAACAAGATGAATTCTATAATAGATGAAGCAGGCCCGCTTGTACTTGCAAAGAGAACTGTGTCAGAACAAGTACACGATATCCATCTTCGTTCTTCAATTGTATATACATTATCAATTGACATTCTATTTTCGTTGATGAGATACATATTGTTTGTTTCAAGCACAATGAATTGATCTAATGTTGACGACCAACACATGTCCTGGATAGCACCGTAAGACCATAACATTTGTTTGACTATGTTCATTTCTCGATTGAAGAAACATAAATTTGGATGTTGATGCATCAGTAAGTATCGATCATTGCAAGTTATTGAATCGAAACTTCCTATCGGAGAATGAGTTGTCCTGTAGATCGGTGAAAGAGTTGATAGATCAAGTTCATGTTCGGTTGTTTTCTTAATTAAAATGAATGTTTCATCTATTACTAATGGACGGGTATTGACGGTAATATGTGTTTGTTCAATGTTGTTCATATTTGTTTCGAGCTGACGAATAGCTGATGTTAATAAATCGATATGTTGACGAGTTGTTTCTTGTGTATTGATGAATTCAGTTATCTTCATCTGAATTTGATTGAGCTCTCTTCGTTGTTGGCCAACGTTTTCGTTAACAAGTTGGTCAAGTTCTTGACATTTCTTTTCGAAAAAATAATCAATCTTTTTATGACAATCTTCACGCCATTGTTCAAGTTTTTCACGACTATGGTCAATTATTTTTTGAATATTTAATGTATTGAGTCGATCCTCAAATGCATTAATTTCATCAGTTAAAGGATTCAATTGAGAAATGAGCAAGGCATTATGTTCATTCAAATGTTGTAAACAAAGATTTTGTTGACAACAATCACACAGACCACGCGATGAACGAATACATTTGTTTATCGAACATGATTGCGACATTGCATGAAAGTAATACAATTCTGATACATTGAAGTTATGATACAAGAGGAAGAGAAAATGAAATATGACGTTTTTTCGCAAGAGAAAATGTTTGTGTGGTGAAGAAACGAAAAAAAAAGGTTCCTTTTGCATTTATATAACGAGCATTAAGGTTTTCTCCAACTTGAAATTCGATAAACAGACGTCACACAAACAGTGACTTTACCGGAAGAAGTATGAATATTGTAGCTGAAGATATTTGTTTGTTAGAAAAAAAATACTCATTTGTTTAAATATGATAAACAAAAAGAGAATCCATCTTTATTAACTGTAACCTTGCACATTATGTACAGTATGTGTTGTAAAATCATATTATCAACTTCTAAAGCAATTGCGTTTTTCTGTTGGTGAAAAGAGCAATGTCGAAGCTACAAACATCGTACCCGATAGATTTTTTCAAACTAAAATCAGAAAAGAGGAAAAGTCTAAGGTCAAAGGTGCACCCAATCTTATCGAAAAAATGTGTAAAAATCTTCCTATTCTAAAATCAAATCTGTTACTTTAATTATGAATTTTCAAAAACACCAGCCTTCACTTCTAGAAACTATGCACGAACTTATTTCTTTTTGCATTATGTGTTTGTAATATTCTAAATCGAAGAAAACCGGCGTTCTTACGTTGGTGTTTTCCAAAGGCCGTTAAAACGTTGAAAATAGTAAGAGAAACAATAATCGCTTGTAAGCGATAAACAACGATGTAAGCTATTACAGTAATATGCCGTTAATGACGATTGTAATTGATCATCCTGGAATGTCAGTTTATAGGAACTTAACAGAAAAAAAATAATCCAAAAAATATTTATTACCATTACAAAACGGTCCGATGATATGAACGATAGAATTAATCCATCTTTTTTACAAAAAACAATATTTTATTATAAAAATCATGAACAACTTTAACCTTCAATGTACCATTGCAAGAGCTACTATTCATGCCATAAAAATCATCATGGAACGTTTTTTTTCTATACTTTTCTAATTTGATTATTGACAGAAATCAAAGATTACCTTTTGTTAGTACGTAGCTCTCGGCGATATGAACGTGCTTTGCTTTGAGAAATAGAACAAGTCCTAAATAGGACTACTGTATTTTCTTTATCAATAGACCTAGTTCATCTGAAAAGAACTGGTCACTATGTTCAGTTCTCAAAAACAACTTTCAGTACTACCTATCAGTTCAATATACATTCAACCAGTAAAGCTAATCTCTAAGAAGAACATATCAAACAAACATCATCAAGAAAGTGGAAGATAAAGCAGTAAGAGAAACTTGTAATCTTGTGATGATATCATCAGCGTGGTGTTATAAGGATTTATTTTTTGAGATTCATTGTTGATATTGATACACTCGGATTTAACTTCTGCATTATATAACATATGTTGACTGTATTAGAAGAAAGCCACAAGCCGGAGAAGGCACTCTGCCTTTTGAGTTAGTTTGTTTTCGCCATAATTTTGTCTTCGTTCTTACTTGCAGGTAAGTGCTACATCTTTAATCTTCCATTTTATTTCAAAATAATAACTAAGGTTTACAGCAAAAAAAAACATCACGGAAGTAAATATATTGGGAAACTTATTCGGTCTATATGGTTATTTGCTCTTTAAACCAGAACATAGTATTCAAGAGACCTCTTGTCATTAGTTGAAGGACTTGGTATCATTAGAATAAATCTATACTCAAATAAAGCATTCAAAAAAAAACATCTGATTTTGCTGAATAATTACTTCTATGTTTCTTCTCAAATATATCATACAAATGGTTTCAAAATGTGAACATAACTATAAGTATATATTTTGTTTTCATATCACTCATTAGGGTATATTTATTTGATATTCAATTGATCTAATGTAATTTCGACAAACCTTTTTGTTCAAGTTGTAACCTCGATAAGACATATATACATACAGTCCACAATGTTACACATAATAAAAACAAATTCTATTCTTTCTATCATATTCTCTATAAAAAAAAATGAATATTTTGTTTTCGAACGAATAAATACCTTCAGCTGAAGTATTCATTATTATTCTTGTAAAGTCATTACTCCTATGACATCTAATGGGTACGCCAGAATGAATGGCCGCATTTTGCATTTCAATTTTCATTCACTTAACATGCTGTATTAAAAAAACAAAGTACACCACAAGATGCAGCATGAAAAGCTCGACAATTTATATAAGACCGCCCTTCTGATAGTTTCACTTTTTCCTTTCAAAATGGTCAAAATTTTGAGCAATCAAATTTTAGCCGTGGGAAAACGACATTTGTTTTGGCACAAGATGATTTCGTTGTTTCTTATTTCATATTTTTATCACCTGATATCTTTCATTTAAAAAAAAATATCCCACAATATACAGCGTGAAAAGCTCTACAATTTACACACTAAAGCTTATTGTAATTGTTTTCAAAAAAAAAAATTCTCTGCGATCAATTTTCGCACAGTTGCAATTTAATTGCTTCAAATTTTGTCTATTCTGAAAGCAAAAAGTAAAACTATAAGAAAAGTGGTCTTGTGTTAATTGTAGAGCTTTTCACGCTGCATCTTGTGGTGTATTTTGTTGATTTAATACAGTATATTAAGTGAATGAAATTTGAAGTACAAAACGCGGTCATTCATCCTGAAGCACCCGTTATTTATTGAATTTACCGCTAGTAAAAAAACCTGTATTTTCTTTACACAAATGCAAAAAACTCTTTTTCGTTCCTTCAACAAACAAACTTTTTTTTTGTATTCAGATATAAAACGTGTTTTATTTTCTCTCTCTCTCTCTACCGTAGCTATCTGCAAAACATGAGAATTTGATTATTTTCATCCAATGTCTCAAAGCTGTTCGGTTGAAAAATGTACTCGTACATCGCGTGGTCTGTGCGATTGTTGTCAACAAACTCTTTGTTTACAACATTTAACCGCACATAATGCTTTACTAATTTCTCAATTGAATCCTTTAACTGATGAAATTAATATACTTGGAAATCGTCTGAACACACTAAATATCCAAGAAACAATTGCTGGTAGTCGTGAAAAACTTGAACAATGGCGTGAAGATTGTCATAAAAAGATTGATTATTTTTTCAATAAGAAATGTCAAGAACTTGATCAAGTTGTTAATGAAAAAGTTGATCAACAACGAACAGAGCTCAATCAAATCCAGATGAAGATAAGGGATCTTATCGATGCACAAGAAACAACTCGCGAAGATATCGATTCATTGACATCAATTATTCGTCAACTCGAAACAAATATAAACAACATTGAACAAACATGTTTTAAGATCCATACTCGACCGTTAATGATTGATGAAACATTCATTTTAATTAGAAAAATAACTGAACATGAACTTGATCTATCAACTCTTTCGCCTGTCTATAACACAATCCATCGTCCTGCAGAAAGTTTTCGATCACTTACTTGCAATGATCGATATTTTTTGATACATCAACATCCATGTTTATGTTTGTTTGATCGAGAAATGAACATAGTCAAACAAATGTTATGGTCTTACGGTGCTATTCAAGACATGTGTTGGTCGTCAACATTAGATCGATTCATTGTGCTTGAAAAAAATAACATTTATCTTATTAACGAAAATACAATGTCAATCGATAATGTGCTTAGATTGGGAAAACGACGCTGGATATCGTGTACATGTTCGGACACAGTTCTTTTTGCATCCACAGATAAACGTGCTTCATCTCTTGTGGAATTCACATTATTCCCAATGATGGAGTTGATTAGAGAATGGGAATATCCTCGTACATGTGCCAAAGATGAAATTATTGATGGTATTATTTACAATAACGAAAAACTTGCTCTGATGATTGTGAATTTATTCAATGAATCGTTACGCATGGAATTAAGATATTCAAAGACACTCGATCGCATATGGACACTTCAACTTGATATTAGATGCGTTCAAAAAAAAGTATTTCGTTGTTGTTCACTGACTTGTAATGAATGGATCATTGTTGATTATGAAACAGAACGGCTGCTTCAGATTACAAAAGATGGTAAAATAAAGAAAACAATTCAATATCATTCGAGTCCCCGTTGTGCGATTCTGTTCGACCTTAATAAACTAGCTGTATCGACTATGAATGACGTAAATCTGCACAGAATTCAATGACATGAATGACTACTGCCGTTTAGGTTTTTGCTTTAGTTTTTTAGCTTTCTAAATTAGGAACTCGAATTAAAAATAATTAATCCCATTTTTCTGAAATATCATTCAAGGTTGATAAGATTTTAGAAGTCTATCAAGCTGAAGCTGCTATATTTTTTATTCGCTGATACGCAAATAAAACATAAAAATTAGTTGATTAATAAAAATAGACAAAGTTGTATTACTTGAATCTTTTAAATGAAAAAATTTGACATCATGACATAAAGTAAAAAAGGTTGCCAACGCAATTTCTGTAGGATTAAAACATGAAACACGATATATCTCTTGTTGCTAATAGCAACGAGATCCTTTTAGTCTCTCTATATTAGGATATATTTCTTCCCCATCCATTTGCCTTCTTATCTAGGAAGCTCGAATTCTGTTAGGTTTTTTCACATCATATTTAGAAACTAAGTTAAAAGGTCGTGCATAGAAAGTAGAATCTCTAGAAGATTACATCTCTGTAGAATTAATTGCTTTGAATATGATATTTATTTACAATGAATAAATCATTATATTTGCAAAGTTTAAAGGATATAATAACAAGCTAAATTCTTCTAAATTACTACCCAAAACGGTTTTCTTGTCCATGAATATTGCATCATATCACATCACCATCAATCTACATATTTTGTTTCATAATGAATGAAAACCTTTATGATAAAGTTTACATTTTTTTAACTTTTCCGTACTCCTAAGAATGTATCTCTAATTTCAATAGTCCTTATTGATTAACCATTTTGTATAGAATATTCGAAAGTTTACTACTCAGAAAAATGTTGACGGAATTCCATTATAGTT